GAAACTGCAGTCCAACCTGGATGAGAACAACTTTTGGGAAAGCAAGGCTTTGTGAAATTTAATGGAAACCTCATCACAACTTATATCATTGTGGGAAAATTCTACTACCAGTCCATCTCATATTCTCCTTAGTCGACAAAGACGCTGAGTTCGTCAAGAAAATTAAGGCAGACCAACGAAATAGAAGAAAGTGGAAAGAGAATGACATGTCTGAGCACTAAATGAAGCTGTTTGCATGGGAAGCACACAGAATATATGGAGGTGAAGTGGGTACGACATAGAGGTTGGTGAAATATGGAGAGAGAGAGAGAGAGAGAGAAACCAGTTGGAAAAATAGAACATTGACAGTACAACAGGCACTCAATAGTTGCCCGCAGGCTGTAGCAGTCATGGCAGCAATGCGATAAAGCCTCATGATGCCCCAACTGGCAGATAGTGTTAACACACACCACATAGGGAGGAATAGATGAATAGAGATATAGACAAACAGATATGAATGCATTTAAACAAATATACATTGGCACGGAGCTGTTCAACTAGTGTTGTAGGCTTTGGTCGCACTCTTTTAGTAGAAGACTTTTGGCCCTCTAATAACGCGACCAACCACGGAGTCACAGACAACCAGTCAGCTGGACAAGTGAATGGGTGTACTTTTTAAAGACTATCCAGCTATCCTTCCGGTCTCAAGTCTCTGTCCCTTCGGACTTTTTCCCCTTGTCTCAGCTTCTTTTCTTCCTAGCATGTTTATGGTAAACCCTTGCCCGAGTACAAATGTGCCCCGCAGACTGAGCACATAGCCTGAGGGAATCCAGGATGCGCTCAACTGAGTAGGCTGTTGGGTTGGAGAGGCAGTCAGGCTACGGACGAAGCGTGTACGCCAATACATTTAGACCTGATAATTGCACCAAAACGCAGGTATGTGCACCCTTGTTTGGGCATGAAAACCGATGTTGCCAAAGGTGGGTTTGGTGAATCAAATCTCTGTAAGCATAAAACGAAAGTAGACATGAACAATCAGGTCGCCAGGCTGGAAGAGGATATCTGGCCTTTGGCGGAGTGAATATTAGGGTCATCGTAAAGAGGTGAAAAAATGAGAATATAAGTAGGGCCGGCTTCTGGCAAAAATCACCAGTTGGCCTTACAGCCCAAAACATACAGGCAGACATATGGACATACTGACGACAAACTGATACACATTCATGCACACGTACATGCAGACATACATATAGACAGAAGAATAAAAGTCCAAGCAGCAACTATACCTGAATATACATTAATAGATAGATAGACAAAAAGTCTCTGTGAGGCTGTATGGCCGAGCGATTTGTTCACACGAGTCTGGCCCATCGTCACTTGATCGGGCAAGTCAATTGGACTGGCAGTGGGAAGCCTGAATGAGAAGAGGATAAAAAGCGCTAAGAGTGAGCATAGCAAGAGCATTAGAAGCAGGTAGGCTGTGGTGCACAAAGCCTGCAACCTGGCCGATAGAGGATACTGTTGAGTCGGCAGGGGGCGTAAAGTTTGCCCAGCCAGCGCCCGATGGCAAAGGCTGGACGAAGCACAGCCCTGTTGAGGAGACTGGAAAGAGAATGACACGAACTAGGACACACGGAAAGTTGAGAGTGCAGCCTGCAGACAGGCTGTACGGGCGACGAAGAGGGCACCCAAAGGCAGAGAACCAATGGGAGGGCGAATAGAGAGTGTGCAGACCGGTCTATCCCATCAGCTCCGCTTGCTCAAACTCCCGCCACCAGCCGTTTGCCCACTTCGTCTCAAGCAGAAATGCTTAGGCCTCCTCATCGACCGACCAACAGACCGGTTGGCCGGCTTTGCCAGACTCAACTGCCTTCTGCAGGCCGAGATGGATGATTGTCTGTCGGCTTGAGAAGAGGTCTGGCTCTGGCCCTGGCCCTGGCCATGTGTGCAGCTACAATTCCCACCAGACTCGACTAGCCAATCAGAATGGCCCAGCCGGGCTATAGCCAATAGGTTCAGCGAATCAAATCAGAGCCAGGCCAGGGCAGACCAAGACCGGGCAGAGCAGGCTCGGTCCGAGGAGAATCAAGCCCCGTCTGTGGCCGGGCCGAATAGGCAAGAGTTTTGTCTGCGTGCACCTCGATTCTGACTGGGCACACGGCGATAGGAGACATCGTTCAGCCGGCTGCATATCTTGTAACGCTCAGTACACACGCCTATCTGGTTCACAACCTCACGAGAAGACGTTGTAAACCATGCCGGAACACAAGTCAACTGCCACAAAACTCGATCGGACTCGCAGGGCGGTGAACCGAAGGCGCCTTCGTATCCTTCGGTCTCCGATGCGGTCAATTTAAACAATCTCTTTTATTTGCCGGTATTTTCAGACCAAGTAAAAGGCATAATAGCACTTTTTGATGCATCAAATGAGCAAACTGCACGCTTCACAGGCACCAAAACCGACCGTGAAACCAGACGAGATGAAGAGATCGTACAAAAATGAGTTTCAATGCTAATCTATGAACTGTGTTGAGACTCCGGGTAGCCATAGAGAGTACGCTAATGAGGACTAAATTGAATGAGGCGTGGCAAGTCGCAGACTTGAATTACCACTTTGTTAAAACATCAGCATATGGTGGGTGTACCCCCTTTCTTTACATAATAGAGGGGGCCTTTCCAGTCTGGACACATAACATGGATGTTAGGTGATCGGTTTCTAAGACTTTCTTGATATATTCATACTGGCGTAGAGTTTAATTCAGTTGAAAATGCCAATAGTAAATTGGCTCACCAACTCGCGACCCAAACGAATCTGTGCTGAACTTTCGTCTCCTGCACAGTCACCAGACGGCGTTGGAGCCAGAAACCAGAGTTTACTATTTAGGCATGAAGTAGCAAACAATAGCATAGCATAAGAGTTATGTCAATCTAGGTCGCAGGTGATGATAATCTGATGATGGTATGCTTTGAAGTTTCCACTCTCTGTGTGAGGAACTGGCAGTCGTGGCGGTGTGGCGCAGTGGTAACATGTCGACATTGTGCGCTATTCTATCGCAGCCTAAGTTTGATTCCCGCTTGAAGTGCTGCCAGATTGAGGCTGTAGTCGAATCCAGCCGGGCTAAAAATACCTTAGATGTGTCGATCCTAGTTGGTCTAAGGCGATGAAGGACCG